GCTTGCTGTTTATTTTATGATCTTCATAAAAGCTAGTTGCCGATACCATGAACACAGACAAAAGTTTTCTGACCAGGCTTCAGATAACTTTTTTTGGGTCAATAGGGTTCACAGGACAAAACTTTATAGCTAGTGGCTGGCAATATTAAATTTGAAAAGGTGGATGTTGTTGCCTTTAGTGGTTGGAACTTGAGACTTGTAATTTGGAATTTCTTACTTTACAAGCCTGGGTCAAGTTTATTTCAAGGAAAAACAAAGAGATACTTTCTCAGTTTTTGGCCTTTGCATCTCTCACTTGCTTTCAATGCATGTGATGTGATGTGATCTTATCTCTCTATGGTTTGGTCCGATTGTGACCTTATCTCTTGTGTTCTATTTGTTTTCGTGTATTATTCGAATAGGGTAACTGCTTTTTTCTTAAGAAAAAGAAATTTGAAGTTGAGAAAATTAATATAGAAAATAGAACATTTATTCAATACTTGCCGAAAACAAACATTAGAATTAACATATTGTCGTATTGTTTTCCTAAAATACTCTATTATCTATCTGTAAAAATTAAAAAAAGGACTAGAATTCTCTTTGTAAGTTCTCAAATAGGCCTTGATATGCTCTGGATCTGAGATGGAGCCTCCCCTCCTCCTAAACGTTTTTTAACTAAAAAGTAATCTATTACCTAATTAAGGAACCAAAACTACATTTGATGTCTACATGTAAGTACTTTTCATCGTTCTTTTCTTTATTGCATTTGATAGGTCCATTTCATATTTATCTAGCCCAAAAAAAAACTAACACACATTGTGATCTATGAGGATTGATATATCGTCATATCCATGGTATACAAATAAATACTACTAATAACTAAGCTATATTAAACTATTCTTAATATGAAACATGAAGAGCAATTAAAATATTAATCCGGCCTACACATCCTAGGCAAAATGTGTACCGCCACAACTTCCAACATCGGCGGCGGCTCCACCACCCAAATCCTTGGTGGTGTCGCCACGACATCTACCACCACAATCCTTCTTCCGTTAGCACAAACCACACAAACTCTCCCTCTCCCGGCACAAACTTGCTCAGCCTCTCTTAACACAACCGACTCCATCACCATTTCCCAGCAGTCATTTTCATCAACATACTTGTTCAATACTCCTGTTCTCTCATCCACCACATACATCACATCATCGTCATGGTCATCGTGACCATCATCATTGATGGTTGCAGCAGCTGGCCCATTCCATCCACCGAGCATGCCTTGAGGCATGACTTGCCACGTGTCCTTCTGCACATCATAGACAACCCCTTCTTTGATTGCATTGCCCTTCGAATTCACCATCCATAGCTTCCCTCTGTACCCAATAGCCTCCACATCCTCCCTGCTAAACCTTCCATCTTTAAGGCATGCCTTCTTAACCCATGACGAAGAAGCCTCCTTTCTCTTCGTGTCCCACTCTTCCATCGACCTCGCAACATCTCCTCTATAAGTTGTTCCAATCCCACCAGCCACGTACACTTTTCCACCCACAGTCCCGACCCCACACCAGCGGCGAGGCTCGGGCAGCGGGGGGCCGAAGGACCACTGGTTGGACAGTGGTTGGAACACAAGAGGACGAGGCATCGCTGGTGTGAACTGGTGGGTAGTGGCAGCAACGAGGACAAGGCGGCCGGAGACGGACAACCATTGGATCGGTAGTTTTCGGGAGAGGAAGGACGGGTGGCAGTGGAGGAGTTGGAGAGGAGGGGAGGACGGAGGAGGAGGGAGAGAAGTCCATGTGTTTGATATGGGGTCTAGTGAGGAGAACTGAATGGGGGAATTGGGGTTGTGGTGGTGGTGATGAGGTGGTGGTGGAGAGAGAATGGCGTAGAGAGAGAAAAAAGGGGGGAAGGAAGGAGAGTAGATAAGGCGCCGCCATGAGCGGCAAACAGAGAAGAGAACGGAAGGGTTGATTTTTGCAAGGCAGAGCTGTGCAAGGTGGTTTGGTAAGCCTGGCAACAGCAAAGTCTCAT